GCATCAGCATCATGAGCATCATCATCATCACCGTCGTCATCATCAAATTACCATCATCAGCATCATCGTCATTATCAACAACATCTTCATCATCATCAACATCAGCAGCAGCATCATCAGCATCAACATCATCATCATCATAAGCAGCATCACCATCAACATCATCATCAGCATCATGACCATTACCATCATCAGCAACAGCATCAGCAGATCATCATCAACACCAACGACAGCATATCAGCAACAAGAACAACAACAACAACAACAACATCCTCGTCGTCATCATCATCAGCGTAATCATCATCATCATCATCATCATCATCATCATCATCGTCATCATAATCAGCATCATCAGCATCAGCATCGCCATCGTATTCCTCCTCCTCCTCCTCCTCATCATCATCATCATCATCATCCTCATCCTCCACGTCATCCGCCGCCTCATCCTCCTCCTCATCCCGCTCCTCCATCTCCTCCTCCTTCTCTCCTCCTCCTCCTCCTCGTCCTCCCCTCCTCTTCCTACTCCTCCCCCTCCTCCCCCCAAAATACCCACCGTGTTGGCATCATGTTCCCTCCGCTCATCATCGGATTCATGGTCCTGCTTTTCTCCTCATCCTCCTCCTCCTCCAACTCATCATCCTCCTCCAACTCATCATCCTCATCACCATCAGCAGCCATATCGTCATCATCATCATCATGAGCATCAGCAGCAGCAACAATAGCAACAACACCACCACCACCACCATCATCATCAGCATCATCACCCTCATCATCATCAGCATCATCACCATCATCAGCACCAACATCATCAGCATCATCACCATCGCCAGCATTATCATTATCATCATCGTCATCCTCCTTTTCCTTCTCCTCCTCCTCCTCCTCCTCCTCTTCGTCGACGCTGGCACACCCAGACCGAAGGGAAAAATGCATCAGGGCAGGCCAGACGTGGCCACAGACGGCGTGTCGGAACAGGCCGTATCCGACCAGACCAGGCTGGATCACCACGCCAGGGCACGCCAGACCAGACCATGCCACAACACCAGACCAAACGCGACCAAACCAGACCAGACCGACCAGAACGCGAGACAAATGCACAACACAAGGGGAAGACGAGGACACCAAGAATAAGGAGTAGACAGCACCATGGCGAGGAGGAGAAACTGAAGGTGAAGGATATCATCGGGAAGCACATGGGGTGCAGGGGCGGGACAAAGCAAAGACGGACAGAAAACAGAGCCAGGGTATAAAGGAGAAAGAAGGCAAACGTGAGGTCCAAAAACTGGAAGTACATTCTGCCGAATGGTCCCCGCAGGGGAACTGATGTGGTTTGTTTCGAAGCCTGTCACGTGTGATCGTACAGCGTGATATGTTACAAGAGTGCGGACGTACTGCCGTTGCGCACGGTGTGTCAGCTTCGTGTGCACATGGCACTGCATGACATGTGGGCGTGGATAAGTATACGCGTTATGCGTCGCGACAAAGTGGCGCAATGTGTAATAGGACGTGTGAGTGTTGATTACGTACGCGCATGGTGCATGTTCGCATGCGGTCGACGCACGGTACTGGGAAACGTCAGTTTTTAAGCGATGCAAACGATGTGGGGATTTGTCGATAGGGAAAGACTGTTACTGTCGTACGCGATGGACGCATAATATTGTTGGGAATTGCGTCTGCTCCTGGTGACAACCCCACGCGCACGCGAACAGCGGCTGCCTTCCCCCCCCATCTGCTGCCCAGCGCCGCGACTGGCACCCCCCCTCGGCGCGCCCTCCGCCGCAGCCGGTGACTTGCCTGAGCGTGCCCGGCTTCCTCTCTTCCCGTCGCGCCGGGGTCTTCTCCTCGCCTCACGAGCACCGCGACCCACTTTGCATCTAGCGCGCCCCAGTGATGCCTGATCGCCAGAGCAGTCACCTTCTGCCCAGCCGCCGACGCAAAACAGAAGTACGCGAACGGCGGGGCAACGTCACGCCGGGACGGCCCTGTGCAGCTCTGCGAGGCGGGATCCTCCAGGACGCTCGGGTTATGGCCTGGGCCTGGCGGTCGCGGTATGCGGGCTGGCGTGGCAGGCCTCTCGGGAACCCTGGGGGGGGGAAGCCTCTCTGGGCCTGGCCGCCGCGGTATGCGGGGGCTGAACCGGAACCGGAACAGGAACCGGAACTGGAACTGGAGCGGCGTGCGTAGAGGCGCGCCCTTTGCGGGCTGCCGCGGGACTTCTCGCACTGTCGCACGCGACTTCTCGCAGGGGCTGACGGGAAAGAGTTTACGTAAGATCTTACGCACCCAGCACATCGGACGAACAAGTGCGACGAGGGGAGCGAGAATGGGGAGAAGGCAGGAGGGAGAGGAGAGAAGGGGGACGACCGCGGCGACGATGAGAACAGCCAAGGCAGGATCAAGGAGAACCCGTCTTAACATATTGCAAGAACATTTGCTAACCGACTCTCGACCCTCAGACAAAAGAGAACTCCACACACGAGAAAGGCGACTTGCTGGGACTCCCGACGACACGACGTGCAACCGACGGATGAAGCGCAGCCCAAGCACCAACGAGGCTCCGCTGTCTCTGTCGGCCCCTTGCTAAATGCGCCCCAGTACCTCCCTCGCGTGGCCCTTGACCTCCCTCCCCGTCCCCCTCTCTCTATCTCTCTCCATCCGCGGCCCCTTCCGTTTCCATTCCTCGTTCACTCCGTCCTCCCTCGCCACTCCCCCTCGTCCACCCAACTCCCTCCCGTTCACTGCCCTCCCCTCTCGTCCGCAGCTGTCCCGCCCGCCTGCCGTCCTCCCCTCCCCTGTATGCCCTCCTTCTGGCCGTCGCGGGGACGCCCATTGCCCATACATTGCTCGTACTCGTGCGTGTGCCTTCTCTTCTGCACCAGAGGATCGAAGATGCTCCTCGGTGGTCCCCGCCGAGAAGAACGCACACGCCCGAGCGATGCCGAGGTCGCAGAAGTCCCCCGAGCCTCCGGAGGTCCCCGCAGGCCACAAGGGGATACACCCTGCGAAATGCCTAAGAAATCATGGGTTAAGAAATTCATAGTCTCATAATCTGATTACAAACCCAGAACTCCTATCAAAATCTTGGGATTTACATTGAAAAGTTAAGAATAATCGAGACTCTGGACGAAAACTTAGGTTTTCTTAAGCATCGCCTAGGGTGTATGCCCAGAGGCACCCCAAGAGCTCCCGGGAGGCCCTCGGGGCCCCCCGGGCAGCCAAGCACACCCCCGAGAGCACCAGACACCTCGCCGCAGTCCTCGAGGGCTCGACCCTCGCCCCCCTCGATGCCCCCATCGAGAGATCGATCCTCGAAGGATCAATCCTCGAAGGATCGATCCTCGCAGGATCGAACCTCGAGAGGTGGGCCCTCGAGAGAACAGTCCTCGAAAGATCGATCCTCGAAAGATCGGTCCTCGAAAGGTCGGTCCTCGAAAGATCGATCCTCGAAAGATCGATCCTCGTCGAAAGAATCGATCCTCGAAGGATCGATCCTCGCCCCCCGTCGATCCTTGGCTCCCCCCCCTCTCGGCGCGCCGCCAGCACGCCGCGGCAGCGTTGAGAGCCCAAGTGGGCCGCCCTCCTTACATATAAGCGTTTTTCAATCGGCGTCTCGACATTGGGAGGAGGAGGAGGGGGGGGGGAGGGGAGGGGGTCTGGCTCTGGGCCTCTGCTCCATGCCACTGCTTGCATGAGCGCGTCCTCTGGGGGGAGGGTCCCCCCCCGCTCGAAACAGGCGCCAAGAAGCAGCCAAGACCTACTCCAGATTTCGTAATAAAGAGAGGGGGGTCTCATTTCGGGGGGGTCTCTTCCAGGCTATCTTGGAGGGCCTGGGGGGGTCTGGGGACGATGTTTGGGAGGGTTCTCCCACGAGGGGGGGTCTGAAATGGCTTGTCTTGGAGGGTCCAGACCCCCCTCCCTTTTATTACGAAGTCTGGAGTACTCCGTGGGGGGGGGAGGGCGTGCGACGGCCCGCGCGGATCGGCCAAAGAGGGAACACAGAGACGCTCACCGTCGCTGCGCCACCGACGTCGTGCTCTCTTATCCCGCGTGGGCCACCCGGAGGTCTCGAGGCCCTTCGCACCCCAGACCGTCCTTGCAGTGGGGGCCCGTCCAGAGGAGACCTTCCACCAAAGACCCTGCCCTGAGACTGGGTCGGGCCTGTCCCCCCAGAGGGGGATCTGGACGAAACATGAAAAATAGTCAAAAAAATATACCAGACATGTTCAGAAATCGTCCAAAAATCGTCCCCTGGCTATGTTTTTACTATTTTTGAAGATTATTCCTGTGGAGGAACGTGCCCGACTTAACCCTGAGACCGCAGGACGTCCATTGACTTCTGGTGTGGGCACGTCGCGCTCTCAGTGGCAAAACCATCGAAGCCCAAAAAAAACCCAGGGCACCCTGGACTCAAGCAGGGTGTTTCCTGGCATGGGCCCCCACTGTACACCACCGACGTCGTGTTTTTGTTTCATAACGTAGACCCACAGGAGGTCTCGAAGCCTTCTCACCCTCAATCGTTTTGAGGTGGCTCCGAAGCCCGAAGAGAAGAGGACCCCCCCGGCGGGCAAGCAGAAGCGCAGCAGACGAGACATCGCGCCCGACTTCGCCCCACGCCCGAAATGGGCACGGAAAGAATGGGTACGATGCCAAACAACAAATGTTGTCCCAAACCAACAGCGGCCACTGTTGGGCAGGCGGCCTCCTGTCTCAAATGGACACGGGCCGCGGCGACACCGAGAGCAAGCCCTGTTCAAAAGGAACAGGAACTGCTCTTGGGCATTGTACCCGTTCTTTCCGTGCCCATTTCGTTCGTGCAGACTTTAGTAAACCACCCTTTAGTGAAAACGGCCCCGGCCCGAAATCGACTGGTTTGGACCCGCTAAAATGACGGCCGCGACGCCCTCTCGCGAAGCGAACACGGCCAATTCACTAATCGACGTGTCAGGGTAGGAGGTCTGCCCGACCCCGCTCTTTCCGTACCCATTTCGTTCGTGCCGAGCCGCAGCGGCCCGCAGCGAGCGCCAGCAACGCGGGGGCTGCCCCTGGCAGCGCCAAAGCCCATCGGCATCCCCGCGTGACAGGGGCGCTGCAGTGTGCCCCCCCCCTTCGGCAGCAGCGCGGCGACATGCCAGGAACACCACGAATGGCACACGTCCTGGTGGAGGAGGAGGAGAAAGAGGAGAAGGAGGAGGAGGAGGAGGAGGAGGAGAAGGAGGAGGAGGATAGGGGCCCCGGGAGGTGGAGTCCGACTGAAACGGCGCAGTAGTTCAGAACCTCCCTGTGGTGCGAGTCACCTATCATCTCTCCTCTTCATCCTCCTTCGTCCTCCGTGTTTAGCTGGATTTTCACACACACACACACACACACACACACACACACACAATTCGGCGGGCCGCAAGAGACAGGGCGGAGAAAGTCGTGGAAAAGCACATACGCATTTTTTGACGCCACGGGCCTGCGCGCGGAGGCGGGGCGGAGATAGTCGTGGAACAACAATCGCGCGCACGCGAATCTAGGAGCGCCCACACACACACACACACACACACACGCGCACGCACGCACGCACGCACGCACGCACGCACGCACGCACGCACGCACGCACGCACGCACGCACGCACGCACACACACACACACACACACACACACACACACACACACACACACACACACACACACACACACACACACACACACACACATATATATATATATATCTATATATATGTGTGTGTATATATATATATAATTTACCCACTCGGTCGCCAGCGGAAAAGCCTCGAGTCTGCCGACGCGTCCTTCCAGATGCGTGGCCTGCTTCCTTGTCCACGACGAGTTCGGCACTCAGAACCGTTTTTGCGACTGGCCCAGGGCGCATGCAAGGCCTCGGGCCCGGCAGCTCATACCACCAGCCCTCTGGGCGACAGGCGGTCTAACGATGTCTTTCTTTCCTCTTCCACAACCCCTTTTTTTTCCCGTCGGGGAGGGTTCTGACTCCTCCCTATTCATAGTATACAACCCAAAACAATGCCATCCCCATGCTCGCTCGCTCGCTCGTGGCTGGTGTGGCAGTCCTGTACCCATGCAGACCTGCCCTGCCACCTCCCCGCGGCTGAACCCAGCGGGGAGGTGGGGGCGCATTAGGGAACCAACCCCGTGCGGGCAACCCCCCAAAACCCATCCCTGTCAAAAAACCATACGAAACGCACTTTGCCTCCACATTTGGAACGTGCGTGGCCAACCCGACACGCCCCCCCCACCACCCCTGTCAAACAACAATACAACATACACTTCGGGGGCAAAGTCTTGAGTCACGTCCGTGAGGCCCGCGAGTAGCTTGGATTGTTTTTGACAGGACGGCGGGGGTGTCAGCATATTCCCTGCTGCGCGCAGGGCTGCCATCCCTGCCCCCCCAAAAAATGCACCTCGTGGCCAAATCTGGATCATTAGCGGCCACCCCACTGCCAAATCGTTTTGGCAGGGACGGCGCAGGCGGCGGCGCGTGGCCTGCTGCGCGCAGGCCCACCAGACACAATAATGGGTATTGGTTTTCGACAAGGATGGCGGGGGCCGACATGTTTCCCGACGCGCGCTGTCACGCGCGCTGGCGCACCTGACGCACACCGAGCGTGCCCCGAACGAGGCGCACCTGGCGCGGCTGGAGTGCGCGGCACACCTAGCGCACTCGGAGCACGCGGCGCATCTGGCGCCCCAGGCGTGCCCGGCACGCTCGGGCCCCAGGGGTCTCCTTTACTTTTTGGGCGGCTCCTTTACTTGTTGGGGGGTCTCCTTTGTTTGTTCGGCGGTCTGCTATACTTTTGAGTGGGTATCCTTTCCTCTTTCGGGCGGTATACATTACTTTTGCGGGGGTCTCCTTTTACTTGTTGGGCGGCCCCCTTCACTTCCGCGCGCGCAGGGCGGGACCGAGCGAGAGCTCAAGGGAATAAATGGACAAGCCCCCCTTTTGCGCTCCCTCTTCATCGGCCAAAGCTGTCGACAGAGCGTCGGCAACTCCTCCGCACTCCGAGGCGCGACCGCGCGAGCCTCAAGACCCACCCCGAAGCCGCGATGGGATTCGCAACACCACGAGCACACCACCGCCCAACGACCGCGGCAAAAACCCGCCAGGCCTCGGGGGAGGAGACTCGCACCAGACGGGCCCAAAAGAGAAGCCCAGCGTGCTCTCGCGAATTTTTTGCTGGCCGGCGGGTCGAGAGCGGGCCTCTTCCGGTTAAGAGCTAGGCGGGGCGCGCGAAGCACTAATTGGGGCGCGCACTCGCGAGACTGCAAGGCGAAACAGAGAGGACGCCATCTTTGCGACGAGGCCAGTCGGAGCAGCAGCTGCAACAGAGCAACCATGGGTTGCGCGGGGGGATCGTTGGCGGGCCAGCTGCCGCGCATTCTTCTGCGGCCGATGCTGCACGCCCACACCCCTACGCCCACGCGCCTTCACGTGCGCGCAGGGCGGGGCCGAGCGAGAGCTCAAGGGAATAAAAGGGCAAACCCCCTTTTCTACTCCCTACTCATCGGCCAAAGCTGCCGACAGAGCTTCGGGAACTCCTCAAGACTTCGGCGCGCGACCGCGCAGGCCTCAAGACTCACCCCGAAGCCGCGACGGGAGTCGCAACACCACGAATGCACCACCGTCAAGCGACAGGGGTAGAACCCGCCAGGCCTTGGGTGGGGGAGGAGGCTCGCACCAGACGGCGTCAGACGAGATGCCCACCAGTCCTAGAACATCCAAGCTCCAAAAAGCTCTCCACCGCGTTCACACTCTGGCTGGAAGGCGCCCAAGAAACACCTTCATCTGCGAGTGCACCTGTGAGTTGCTCTCACGCGAACAATCAAAGTGCAGAAAAAGATGGAGTGAAGAGCGAGTAGACTCATGGATCCCAAGTCGGCAAGAATTGGGGCGGCATCTGAACAATAGACGCATCGCCTCCGAGTTGAGAGCCAGCCCACAGTGACAGCCATCCTGCAGCATAGAGCCTCTCAGTTCGCGTCGCTGCGGTCCTCGCCGTCGAGCGCGACGATGGATTTGGAAAGATTTGGCGAGAACAAAATGTTCAACCGACCAAAAATCAGCAAAAGGTCCGTCGAGATTTTTCTTGCCAACTAGCTCTCCAGCGCGCCGGAATTACGGGGCGCCGGCGGTAAACCGTCAACCTTTGTTACCGCCGGGGGACTCGTAGAGCTTCCTGACAATATATAATGTGGAGGAACAATTGCAGAGAACAGATAGTTTTTCAGCCCAAGCGATTTCAGACCTCTCGACGCAACAACCGAACGCCCCCGATGCTTCTGAAGTGTCTTCTTTACGAGCTCTGTAGCGCTCCTACAGCCCGAGTTACGTGCGTAAATCGACAGCACCTCTCAAGATGACTCGAACAAAACGAATAGTTTGGCAAACCCAGCTCTATCAAACCGAGTTCAGACCTCTGAATGCGACAGGCGGACGCGTCTGATGTCTCTGAATCGATTCCTGTGATTACCAGCTCTGCAGCCCCCTACAGCCCGAGTTAAGTGCTGAAAACCGACAGCACCTCTCAGCATGACTCGCATAGTTTCGCGGTTCCGAGCTCTGGATTTGGCAGACGGACGCGCCTGATGTTTTCAAATCGATGCATGTGACCACCAGCACTGTAGCCACCCTCAGCCCGAGCTGAGCGCAGAAAACCGAGAGCACTTCTCAAGGTGACTCGAACAATACGAATAGTTTCGCGATTCTACATCGGGCAGCAGACCGAGTTCAGAGCTCTGGATCCAACAGACAAATATGAATTATCGTTCTGAATTGGTTTCTGTAAATATCAGCGCTGTAGCTGTCCCATAGGTCGAGTTAAGTACAGAAAACCAAGAGCGCCTGTGAAGATGACTCGAATAATACGAGTAGGTTTGCGGACCTAGCTCGGCTAGCAGACCGAGTTCAGACCTCTGGAGTTGACAGACGAACGCGCCTGATCATTCTGGATCGATTAGCTGTGCTTACCAGCCCTGTAGCTGTCCTGAAGCTCGAGTTATCTTCCGAAAACCGTCATCGGGTGTCAAGATGACTCGAAACGGCCGATCCCGCCTGCCTGCTTTTTGGCAGTAAAAAGTACCCGATCGAGCTGAGATCGAGATGGCGAGCGGAATCAAGATCGAATATCATGGGAAAAATACTAGAGCTCAAACGAGTTGTTAAATTTCGAGAACGAAATTTTTAACCGACCCAAAGTCACCAAAAGGTCCGTCGAGATTTTTCTTGCCAACTAGCTCTCCAGCGCCCCGGAATTACTGGCGCCGGCGGTGAACCGTCAACCTGGTCACCGCCGGGAACCTCGTAGAGCTCATTTCACGCGTAAGAGTGCTCGGGGTCGAAAGAGAGAGCTTCTGGAAGCATTTCTCGGGGGGGGGGAAAAAAAAAAAAAAAAAAAAAAAAAAAAAAAAAAAATCGTGTCGACATCAAGATGGTTCCGCCAAGTGTTTTGATAGTAAAAGTGCGCCTACATAGCTCATACTAAGACAGAGAGGCCCTCATAGTCGTTTACAAGTGCGAAAAATCTGCTTTCTCAAAATGAATTGTCAAATATCTTTCAAAAAATTGCAAAACCACCCAAAAGTTACCACTTTGTCCTTTCTGGCCGGGTCGACCAACTGGGCGCCGGCGGTAAACCGTCAACCTGGTTACCGCCGGGGACCTCGTAGAGCTCTTTTCTTGCCCAGCTCCTCGGAACACGTGAAGCAAGCTTAAGCGAGATCCAAAAAACTTAAAAAAATCTATCGCATACAAATAGTTTGCGGACTTAGCTCGAGAAGCAGACTCTGTTCAGAGCTCTAGATGCTTCAGCCAAACGCCCTTGATGATTCTGTATCGGTTTCTGTGCGCACCACCTCTGTAGCTGTGCCACAGCTAGAGTTAAGTGCAGAATACCGACAGCGCCTCTAAAGAGAACTTGAGAAATACGAATAGTGTTGTGGACCTAGCTCGACTAGCAGAACGAGTTCAGGCCTCTCGATGCAACAGACGCAAGCACCTGGTGATACTGAATCAGTTTATGTGCGCACCAGCTCTGTAGCTCCTCTGAATCTTGAGTTGAGCACAGGAAACCGGCATCACTGGTGAAGATG